TTTACATTAATATTCAAAAAAGATCCTACTTATTGGTATTATTAATCAACATAATTTTAGTATCTTCAGATTATCAGAAACATATCTTAGTTCTAAAGAAAGAAAATTCTTTAACCAAAATCTTCAAAATCATAACAGCTTTTGGAGTTCTTATAAAAATTCTCACCAAGCAGGTGTTGGAATTTTTATATATAAAAAAATCTTCAAATATATTGCTAGAATACACAATTCTAATAGTCATATAATTAGCTTAGATCTATATTTAAACACAACTTTATTTATATTTTTCAAATATACCTTTCTATTTCAGAAAAAAAACAATTATATGCCAAAATTCAAGAACAAATTATTCTACTCTGTAACAATTCTAACTATCAACTCATAATTTTAACAGTATTCCAAGTCCTTGCCAAGATAAAAGCCCTCTAAAAAACACTTTCATCCTAGAATCTCAAATTCTTAAATACTTAATCAGTCATCAATTTAAAGATATATATTAATTTTTCTTCCTTAGTACATTAAACTTTACATTTTCTTATTCAATCTCTAATAACAAAATTGACTAAATATGAACAAATTTAAATATATCTCAAATTGAATACACTGTATCCTTAAGAATATCTCATCTAAATCAGATTATAAAATTATTATTCTTGAAATTTCTATAACTATTAACAAAACAAAACTCTCTAAACAACATACAAGAAAAATCTTTCTTTGAAAATCCTGCTTAAAAAAATATTAAAAATTACTCAAATCAAATATCACAAAGTTTTTGGCAATCTAATTTGGAATAAAATACTTAAAGCACTTACTAAAGCATTTTAAAAAACATTTCTTACAAAAACATTAAAACAATTTAGAAAATTAAAAATGACAGACCTTCCAAATGATATGCACTCTTTTACAGATATAAACAAATACAATATTTAAAAAACTATCTACAATTATCCAACTTTCATAATCTTCTTAATGAATATATAATCAAATACTCTGAAAATTTTATTGATGAAGCTTTTAACAACTTACACTTCTCAATCAAGCAAAAATTTAATCAAATTAAATTAGTACTCAATACCTTTTATTAACAACAAACTCAAAAAGAAATTCAACAAAAAATTGAGGATCACAATTAATTTTTCCAATCACAACCTAAAAAATTTTTTAAAAACATTCTTGAAAAATATAATAATATACATATTAATAGATTTCTAACAAATAACTCTTTATTAATAGAAAAAGATTATATTAAACAAGCTATTTATATTTACTTTACTAAATACTTTAATAAAAAACCTTTTCAACAAATTCAATCTATATCTGATTACTACCAACTATACCAACCTTATTCTGAACTTGAAATACATTACCAAAACTTATTCAACAAAATCTCTGATAATAAATGGCAAAATACTATTCAAATTTATTTTTTTTCAAAAAGCTGCAGGTCTTTTCAAAACCAACTATGAACATATTAAATATGTGGGCCATATTGGCCAAATTTTTTTTAAATTATTTATTAACAAATATCTTTAACTTTAAAAAATTCTATCTAATTAGAAAACATCTAATATTTTTCTTATTTCAAAAAAATCCTTATAGAACTTTATACTTAATCAAATTTGTCTAATCTCAATTATAAAACCAATGAAAAAATACTTTACTAAAATCTTTATGCAAAGACTAGATTATATTATTAACTCTAATAAACTCCTTTCTAATCTTAACTTTACTATTACCAAAAACTCTTCAACACATATCCCTATCCAAATCCTTAACAATACTATTAAATACTACAAACATTTCAACAAAGAAGCTTGGATAATATTTCAAGACATGTCCAAAGCCTTTGACAAAATCAATATATCTTGACTACAGGACATTTGCAAAAGAATTGGTATTTCTTTTAAAGGAATCTAACTTATTACTAAACTACATACAGACTAACAAGCAAGAATAATTACTGCACATAGTCTTATATCATTTTTTCATATCAAATCAGGTATTGAATAAGGTGAAATATACTTTCTTCTTCTTTGAAAAATTTATTATAATCCAATTCTGACTTATATTCATAATAAATATAATAATCATTTACTTAAAATTACCTTCTCTTCATTACTTAAAATTATTTCCAATATACCACCTTCTTTAATAACTATACCTCCTATGGCTTTTATGGATGACACTGTTTGGCACAATGAAAATCTTAAAACCCTTTAACATATCTTTAATAATACAAAACAACTATACAATCTTAATAACATTGAAATTAATCTAACTAAATCTGATCTTTTATATATCTTTCAAAACAAAAACAAACTAAATATTACTATATCATTCCTTTACTACAATAACTAAATAATACCTTTATATAAACTACATAAAATCATATAGTACCTCAGTATCTATTTTGATGAAAATAGTTCTACTAAACCAACTTTTAAAATGCTTCAAAACAAAATTAAAAACTTTCTTTTATTAATTAAATATAAAAAACTTACATCCAAACAAATCTTTATACTCTTTAATATAATACTACAATCATCTTTAAAATATCTTTTACAAATCTTATCTATATCCAAAACACAACAACAAAAATCTTATGACTACTTTCAATTACAACAAAAAAATGCTTCATTTAGCAAAAAATACATCTAATATTCTTCTTACAAACTCATTGTTTTTTAAACTTTCAGCATTTCAAGACTTAACTCAAAGAGTCATAATATCAACAATTAAATATATTTTCTATCTTACTTTATTTCTTAAATATATTGGTGAAGCCAAAATTAAAAACTGGCTTACTAAAATATGACAACAACTTTTCCTTCCAAATATACTTTCTAAATTCCTACTAAAAACTAAAAATTTATATTTTTTTTTAATTTTCACTTTTATATAACTCTAATATTTATTTTTTACTTAACTAATATCCCTATAACAACAAAACCAATTTATAACATTCTTCTATTTAATATTTTTTCCTCTTTAACAAATAGTCTCTATAATAATAAAATACTTTTTATTAAACAAATTATAATTGCTGACAACTTATACCTTTTATTTTGGAATAATATATATATACAAATTAAAAAATCTATACATGAACCTACTCCTTTCTGGTTTACCAAACTTTGTAATCTTATTCAAAATAACACTATTTACCAAACATGATTATATCTTAACCTACCTAATATTAATAGCTTTATTAATTCTCTTAATACAATTACATCCTATTATCTACTATTATTAAATTAATAGTTAATTCTTCTTAATAATGTTCAAATTTTTTTTACAAAGAATTTATTTTATTTTTTCTTAATTAATAACACTGTTCATAGCTCAATATCCTTGACTTCTACTAACCTATCTATGCCAATACCTCAAAATTTTATTAATATTTCAAATATTAAGTCATTAAGAAAAAATAATATCTACTCTCTTAACATTAATAATTATAAAATTCATGTACTTATTAATATACTACAACAAACTTCTTCACTATTTATACCAACTCAAAATTCAATTATATACATTTCTAAAATAGAAATACAAATAATACAAAAATATATATCATTCTTTAACTTTTAAAATTAACTTATTGAATTATTTTTATTAGTAAAAATCTTTTAAACAATACTTATTTCTATACAGATGCCTCAATTATTCTGAAAGATCAATGTGAGTAATGACTAAGTTGAGACACTCACAAGGTTTTGCATATTAAATTTTCAACATGAGGTGATTGCCTGAGGACAGTTATTCGAATTGTCCCTTTTTTTTGGCTTTATTTTTCACCTGACTCTCTTTTTGTCTTACGATTTGATTGGAAAAATAACTTATCTGATCACTTGAAATATAACAAATCAGTTTATTATCTTTATGTTATAGTCATTATGAAAAAATATCTGTGATAGGATATATTACATATAGAAATTGGCTGGAATACATTCAAATTCAAGACTACCTGGTTGAAATTTTGCAGTTTTTTTTTTTTAATTTATTACTTTTTTTTAATTTAAACTTTAATTTATTGTTTTTTTAAATTAAACTTTAATTTATCACTTTTTTTTTTAATTTAAACTTATTATTTTTTAAATATGATTATTTTTAATTTAAATTTTTGGTTTCTTTTTTTTTAATTTAAAATTTATCATTTTTTTATTTATTTTATTCTTAAATTTTGGTTTTTCTTTTATTTTTATTTTTATAATGATCAGTACTTACATATGCTATTTTTTTATTTTTTTTAATTTCATATTGATATTGAATAAGTTAAACAAGAGCTGGTATCTTATGAATTCTATAATTGGGTATGTATGTATTTCAAATATGTATGATTTTTTGCTTGATTGTATATATTACTAATACGAATATTTTTACATCAATATGATCTTTTTACATCACAACAATGAGAGTTAACTTGGTACATCATCCAAATAATGGTATATAGAATGATACAAATACAGATGTATAGAATGGCAGAAGAGATAATTTTGGTTTATCTCTAATCTTTTTTTTTTAATAAAAAGACTGATATTTCTCTTTGCATAATTGTTACTTTATATTATAAAAAGACTGATATTTCTTTTTACATAATTGTTACTTCATATTTTACAATATGACATGATGATGTTAAATGTTTGCACTTTTGCTTATATGATCTATATAATAGGCTCAATGAGCCTATATTTTCATCATTATTACATTATTTAGTAATATTTTTATTACTTGTAATGATACATATGTATTATTGTAAATATAACAGAATAAAAAAAAAACCAAAAAAAAAAAAAAAATTTATACAATGGTTTATGAAGCCTATTTCCCTCAAACACCTGAAATGTATTAAGATATCATTACTTATCTTTGTAGAGAGATTATACTTATCTCAATAAAACCCAAAAATCGATAGAACTTTAAGTGTAAAATAAAATTATGGTGTCTAAAAAATGGTTATCTTTATGTTTAAATTAAGGATCAACCACTTCAGCATTTCATTCCCACATAGGATTTGGAGTTTTGTCAAGCTTTGTTTAATCAATTTTATGACAATGAGCACCATATTAATGCAAATGATTGTCACAAGAAAATTATGGCGCAACATATTGGTATTACAAAAAAGAAAGTCTGTGAATATGTTTGAAATTGCAATACCTGTAATCAAACTACCTCAATTAAAGAGAAGAATGACCTAACACCAGTTGTAAGTTACAGTTCAATAGAACATCTTCAAATAGACCTTGTCAATTTTACAGCATACAAAGAAATAAATAACAGATTTTCTTGGCTTCTTACTGTAGTTTGTATCTTTTCAAAATTTTTGTAGGCTATCCCACCTAAGACAAAAAAAGCTGATGCAGTAGATGAAGCTTTAATATCTTTATTTGCACAATAGGATGCACCATCAATTCTATAATCTGACAATAGAAAGAAGTTTACTGTGTATGTTGTCAAGTGGATTTGTGAAGTTCTTGGAATTACTATTCAGCATGGATGCCCAAGACATCCTATATCACAAGGCCAAGTTGAATGTTTAAATCAAACAGTTGGGTGCAAATTTACTAAAATGTTATGAAATAAAGACCTGCACTTACAAAATGTTAACTAGAAAGATCATTTACTAAAATTTGTTTTTTCTTATAATACACCCAGCATAGTGCATATTGAAAAACCCCCATGAAGTTCTATTCGGCTATAAACTCCTTGGTATATATCAGCAATTCAATCCTATTGCCTTTTCACCTATAAGAAAATAGAAGTGCAAGAAGCACTAATAATACTACATAATATAACAAACCATCTTGAAAAGGTTTCAGCTCTTCATGATTAGGTTAACAAGCAACTCGACAAATCTAGAAAGCAAATGCAAAATGTTCAAGTGTTCACTGTCGCAATAATCTCTATGAGCCTGGTCAGCTAGTCACCATAGCTTCTGATACTAATATGAATTCAATGATTCAAAAAAGAAAGCTTCAGACCAATTTCAAGGATATTGGAACTGTTGTTGATATTATGAACAATAACAAGATCATTGTTGTTAAAACTTCTGAGAGTAGTACTATGTGTTATCTAGTAAAAAGAATTTGTTGCATCAAAAAAAATAGTGAAAAAGGTAATTTTACTATTTTTAACTTGTTTCATCGCATGTATGTATTTATTGTTTATTCTGTTATTTTTTTTTATTTTTATTTATTTTTTTTTTTTAGCTGGACCACCTTTGTTAACCACATTACTATCATTAGCTGCATTGCCTTCGTTAGCTGCATCACCTTCATTAGTCACATCACCTTTATTAGCTGTATCACCTTTATTAGCCACATTTTCTTCTTTAGCTAAATTGCTTCTATTAGCTACATTATCTCTGTTAGCTGCATCATCTCTGTTAGCCACATTGTCTTCATTAGCTGCATTATCTCCATTAGCTGCATCATTTCTATTAGCCACATAATCTTTGTTATTCATATTACTATCCTAAATTTTAAATGATTTTTTATTTTCTTTAAATAAAAGTTGATTTTTAGCCTTTATTTTTGAGTTAAAATTAGGTTGACTTTTTTTTTAATACGAAATAGTTTTTTTTTGTTTAAACTTCATTGTTTAAAAATTAGTTTTAGCTTTGACTTTTTTTTGCTTAAAAATTAGTTAGTTAAGCTTGGATTTTCAAGGGTTAGGATTTTTTAGGACTAGAATTGTTAGAGTGCGAATTTGAAAATTGTATTAATAGGGTTTAATACATAGGTTTGTCTAATATTAGTTTTCTAAAATACAAAAAGTTTCAATAAAAATTATGTGATTGCTCAACTTGGGCAGCCCTCATGTTAATCTGTGACAATTATTAATGCTTAAACATCACATCTTAAAATTGGAATCAGATAGATTTCTGAACACAATATGCAAATCAAATTTAACTGTTCTATTTTTTTATATTCAAACTTTATCTAAGCAGAACTTGAAGCAATAATATATCTTCTCTTTATCTTGCCAATAAATTCACAAAATAATATACATTTGAACAATCTTTCTGCACTTAAAAATATTCAACTATTTTCATCATTACATAAATTTTCTTATATAAAAAACTGTAATATTTTATTCATCATTCATTATTTTATTAAAACAAAGTCTTTTAATATTTCTTTTCATAAAATCAAATCTTATTCTAACAACTTTCTTTACAATCAAACTAATCTTCTAGCCAAACAAGGTACTAATAAATACCAAATTACATCTAACTTTAAAATAATACTTTTTTCTACTTTACATAGTATAATTATATAATTCCTATTAAAACTCATTCTTTTCTCTAAAATACTATAACTATTCAATTATTTTTTACTTGGTCACAACTTAAATATTTTTAAAATCTACTTTTTATTAAATGGTTTACCAATCTTAATATTATTAATTCACTTAATAATGATTAAAAATTTTATTTATTTTGACTAAAAATTATAAATAACAACTTACCAACTATGCAATACCTTAATATATGCCATCCCTTATTATATACTACTCCAAATTGTGTTCATTGTCAATTAATTGAAGATATACCTCATCTATTAATTTGCTCTAAACAAAATTTCAATCTTCAACAAATTCTTTATAGCTTAACTATAAATATTACCAAACAATTAAATATTTCTGCTAAAATTATAAATACTATTTATACTAAATTATTCTATTACCTTAATATATCACTACATCTTTATTTTCTAAATCTTATCCAAGGCTTCTACCTTATATCTCTATATGATAATATTAAAATACTCTTTTATAAAACAACATTACCCTTTCTTATAATCTTATCTAATGCTTCTCTTAATTGGTTCTATTAATAAATATAGCTACTATATAACATTCTTTAACAACAATAAGAAAAAGCTCACAATATAACTAACAAATTCAAACATTTAAAAATCTATTCTTTAATTCCTACCTTTTAATTAATATCTAATACCTCAAATATATATACTATTGATTCTACTATGTTTATTAAAAACTGGCTATTCTTAGGCTATTTACTTACTAACTGTATTTACTAAATGCCAAGACTATCACTTTAGGTTTTCTTCAACCTTTTTATACTTAAAATTAATTTAAAATAATTAATAATAGTGTTATATAGAAATGAAGATGTAATGCCACATTGGGTGTCTTAAAATAAGTAGCACAAATGTAGTTTAAAAATCTTTAATGTAATTCTTTTATTATTTAATAAAGTTTCTACTTTGATATTTCAAAAAAAAAAAAATATATATATATAGTCAATTCTGATTTTGTTTCAAGATTTGTCTAAAATTCTTGTTAGCATTCTTTCTAAATTTTCATTAATTTTCTTACACCTCTGTCTATTGCAGTATTGATTTCAGTTTTTATATACTTATTTTCTTCAACTTTTTTAACTATTTTTAATGCTTGCTACAACTTTTTTACCAACTAACTTCATCTTGCAAGATATGTTGCATCATTATCTTTTATATACCTTATTTCTAAACTATATTCTATAGTTATTCTCTCTATTTCTAAATTAATCTTTTCTAAGTTAAACTCACATTTCTCTTTTCTTATTGCTTTTTTAACTTTCTGTAACAGTTTACTAAGAGCTACATTGCCTTTATACAGGATTGATGTTTTTTTTTAATATTGTTTCTTTTTTGAATTATCTTTTTCTTAAGTATGTTTCTATTAGCTACATCTTTTATTATATAAGAGATTATATTTTACACCTTATTTATATTAGTACTATAACCTTCTTTTTTAAATACTTTAAATTTTTTGTTCTTTAACAGATAATTCTCAAGGTTTGTTTAATACTCTTTTTAGTTTTCTTTTGTTGCCTTATCATATAAGTACATTGTTTTTGTTAAACCTTTTTTCTTTGTTTTTGCTATATTTTATGTCTTAACTAAATACTTGAACAATACTAATAATTAAATAATTTGTAATTGCTAGATGTTATAAATTTAGCATTAATAATTTTTGCTTGTTTTACTTTTGTTTGCAGATTTTTTAAGACCTATATTTTATCTATTCTCATTTATACATCTTGCTCTAACTACTTGTAACCTTTCAGTTCTAGGTTATGCACTCTATATATATCACCAAACCTCTGATTTATTAACAATTTATGTAATGAAAGAGCCTTATTACTACTGCTAGTACTACTACTTATTTTTTCTAGCTTACTATTAATTATATAATTAAAATTATCTATAACTATAAACTGTAAATTATATGCTTTCTCTATATATATCATTACTATTATTTGCTATAACTTCTTGATTATCTTCTTATTATTTAGAAGAATATATATCACAATTTTCATGATTTTCATTTGTTTAAAGTAAAACTTTGCTCCAACTAAGTACTTTTTAAATTTACAAACTTTTCTTATATGTTTTTTTTATTTTTGACTTACTAATAGCCTAATAACAGATTCTTTCTTTTTATAACTACACTTTATGCTCAAAAACCTTTAATATACTTATTCTCTAAATTAAATCTTAAACCTTTACTATTACTGTTTGTTTCTACTAGTTTCAGAATTTCAATTTTTTTTTTTTTTGATTATTTAACTACTGTATTATTTTTAGTTTCATTTTATTGTTTTTTATCTTATTTATATTATGACATGCTATTTTAATTCCCATTATACTGTTACTATTTTTGTTATATTTGCTTCTATTTAGATCTAGTTTACTATTACAGCTCTCTATCTTTATATTTGACAAAATAGTCATCTTTTTCTGAAAAAACTCTTACAACAACTTTTAGAAGTAATTTAGAAGCATGCTTCTTAATTGTTTTTCTTCTATTTTATCTAATCTCTTTAAAATTCTGTCAAGGGTATTTTGTAAATTACTTTTTGGGTCTTTAACTTTAATTGTTTTAGTCTGAATGCTATTCTTATACTTTCTTTTTAGTATTTTATTTTTACTCTACTAATTTTCTTTATTGCTATTTTTTTTTTTAAATTCTTCTTTACTTTTTAAAACTCTTTTCTATTTTTAACAATGTGTGTCCTTTCTTAAGATAACTAAATTTAATTTTATCTTTTTTTTTAAAACTTAAACAGTTATATTAGTATTAAATTAAGATTCTTGAAATTACATTAACAATTACATAAACATTTTTATGCAAAACAAAAAATCAGCTTTGTACTTAAACTTTTAATATTTTTTTGCTTTTCTGTTTTTTTACTTTACTACTCTTATAAGACCTTGCAATGCTTTATTCTAATCTTATATTATAATAGTATACTTCCTTTATTGTAGCCATCTTAAGGTTTTCTTTTGTTTCAAAATATACTGATGCTTTTAGTTGTTAATTCTTATTTTTATTAACTAATATATAGACTGCTTTTGCTTTTACTACTTTAAGCTATCTTAATAGTAATACCTCAATTGTTATTATTGAAATATTTCTAACTACTGCTTTGTATAAGAATCTTCTTTCTAATATTTTTTTTGTAAAAGTACTAAAGTTACTCTACAAGTTTTGCCTTCTTCAAAGTGCACTAAGCATGCTTGATTAAGTATTGCTTTTCTTTTCTCATTTTTAAACCCAACTAAAAATGTTGCAGCTTTACTATTACTACAACTTTTCTATTATATGAACCTAATTTTATTATAGAATTAAAGACATTTTCTTACTTATACTAGTTGAACCTCTGTTGGAATCTTCTATATTGTATAAATATTATCTACTTCATTCATGTTTTTACATCTTGTTATTGATTCTTTTGTATAATTTTATACTTTTTTTAAGTTTTTTTGCACTTGTTTATTACATTTATCTATTTTTTTATCTTCTTCTGTTTTCTAATCTATCTTTTTTTTTATTTGTGTTATGCTTTTATTTAGCTTTATATTATTTACTAATTTATTAACTTAATTATCTTTTTTTTTGATGCTGTTCTTTTCTTTTTTTTTATGTTTGCCTTAAGTTCAGTTGTTAGCTTTTTTATAATACTATAGATTAAGCAGTTATATTCTTGTTCTAACAGCATTTTTTTGTTTATTTTTATCTTATTTAACTGTTGAATACTCTTTTCTTTAATGTTTACTATCTTTTACTTGTACATATTCATAATAATTCTATTAAGTTTTTGAATATACAGACTAATACTAACTCAGTGCTAATGAGTTTAGCTAATTTCTTATTTTTTCTTAAAATTTTTAGTCTATAACTTTCTAATATTTCTTTCTGTACTTTAACTAATTTATTAAACAAGCATTGATATTTTTTAGTTTCTTGTATCAGTCAATTTCTGTAAATACTAGTTGAACTTTTTATATAATACTTCTTTGTATTATTTTATAAATTTACTAAATATACTTAATATATGATTAATTTTTAATGTCTGTATTTTTGTTTATTTGTAATATTACATATTTTTTTATTTGCTTTTTGTTATATTTATTGTTTATTTTATTTTACTCTATATGTAATGTTTATAATCA